GGCGTGAACTGATGCCTTATACCATGCTCTTTGCAATAAGCATCAAATGGTCCAGAATACTCTCCACCATTATCACTGCGGATACAATTCAGTTTCTTTCCCGTTTGTCTCTCAACCAACGCCACAAAATGCTTGAAATATCCAAGAACCTGATATTTCGTCCTCATAAGAAATATCCACAACTTTCTTGAATGATCATCAATGAAAGTCACAAAATATGATGCGCCGCCAAGAGATCTTGTCTTCATTGGACCACACACATCTGAGTGTACCAAATCCAGTACCTCAAGTTTCCTAGAAGGAGCAGAAGAATTGAAAGATACCCTGTGTTGTTTTCCCGCAAAGCAATGCGAACACTTCTGCAGGTGCAGACCAGAGATTCCTGGAATCACCTCATTCTTAGAAAACACAGCCATTCCCTTCTCACTCATGTGACCGAGTCTTTTATGCCATAACTCCATGGCATTTTCATTCTCCACCGCATTAATAGCATCTTTGGAGACCTTAGCCTGCATCCAATAGAAAGATGAAGACTTCTCACTTCGAGCCACAATCAAAGAACCACGAGAGAGCTTCCATTTACCACCACCGTGCAAACTGTAGAAACCCTCATCATCAAGTCTTCCCGTTGATATCAGATTCTTCCTAATATCAGGAACATGCTTAACATCCTTAAGCACCAGCCTAGTCCCAAGACTAGTCTCCAAGCAAATATTACCAATGCCAACAACCTGAGCCAAACCATCATTCCCCATCTTCACAGAACCATAATTACCCGTAGTATAGGTAGAAAACAAATCCCGTTGTGATGTAGCATGAGTAGTAGCTCCACTATTAATCACCCAACTGGTGTCTTGGCATGCGACATTAATGGCGTCACCCTCAAGAAGAATGAGAAACGGATCTTCGGTGACGGTCACCCGATCCACCTTCTCTTCTTGATTACCTTGCTGTTTGTTTTTCAACTTCCAGAAATCCTTCTTCATGTGCCCTTTCTTATGATAGAAATAGCACTCCAAATTTGCAAATCTATTAGACTTACTCCTGCTCCTGTTCTTCTCCCTCTTGGAATCTCTGTGTGAACTTCTCCCCCTTGGCTCAGTAACTAAGACATCTGAACGCGAAGTACTAGCATTCGATTGCCTTCTTGCTTCCTCATTGAGAACATTGTTCTTCACTGAATCCATCGAAATAACACTTTCCGACGCGGAGTTACAAAGAGACATCCTGAAAACCTCCCAAGAGTCTGGTAAAGTACCTAGAAGCCACAGACCGTGAATCTCATCATCAAACCTGATGCCCATATCAGACAACTTGTTGAGCAATCCCTGAAACTCATTCAGATGATCCGTCATTGGAGTTCCCTCNTGATCATGTACATCTTGTTATTTCCGGTCTTCCTAGCATATAACTGCTCCAGCTTCAACCACAAAGAACGAGCATCAATCTCAGTCTCAATATGATGCAACACATTATCATCTACCCACTGCCTTATCAACCCACACACTTGGCGATGCAGCAGCTTCCATTCATCATCCGTCTTGTTATCAGGTTTCTTCTCCTGAAATACCGGAAGGTGGAATTCTTTAACAAAGAGAAGATCCTCCATCTTTCCCTTCCATAGATGATAATTAGCACCATTCAAGCTTATCATCCTGCCCATGTTTGTTACCATATTCTCCATCATTCACACAAGCAACAATAACTCGAAGTTATCAAACCCAAAACTCTCAGAAAACCAGAAGCTCTGATACCACTTTGTTGGGGAAAAACGGGACACGGCGCAGCGGAATATGTGTTCAAGTTCCCCTGACCTTGTGTGAATCTATGAGAAAAATACTTCGACAGTAGCAAGATATAATATAAGCAGAAACTAAATGAGACAAGGACTTTTTACGTGGAAAACCTCCTCGATGTGAGAAGGAAAAACCACGGGACCGTAGTCCACTCAACAATCCACTATATAAATGTATGTGAGAACAACCACGTCCTCCCTGTTCAACAACATGAACAGAACATAGACTCAGCTACAAAGAGCTAACTCCAACACAAGAGAGTAACACCAAAACTTCAAAAACCGGCAGCAACCAAACGACCTCAGCTCACTAGGATTCCGGCAACCAGAGACTAATCCCACCGTACAAATCCAATATGAACAAGTCAACAATACCTCTGCCAAATTTCAGCTCAAAAAGAGAAGATCTCACCGTCGGATTTACCAAACACACAAGACAACACTGCTGAAGAACTATGACAACCAGCTTCACGAAACCCCAGACAACAGAAGATCCAACCGTTGAAATCTAAATCCCTTCAGTGAACCTTTAACCCACTGCCTGAAGAAGCTTCCCACAAAATATCAGCCTAAACAGAGTCCGTTTGACCCTCCAAATCCGCCTTGACAAACCCAGACGAAAATCTGCCTCTTCTCTCTTTTCTCTTTTTTTGCCTCCTTTCTTTTTCTTGTGTATCTCCAAAATTCTTACCACAAAATTAGGTTAAGAGACTTTATATAGTGTCTCAATAACCCCAAGGCCCAATACTAATCTCATGGATAAATATCATTGACCCAACATCCAAGTTTGGTTATCACCAACCAAACTCAATGGGTTTCCTCCATCTAGAAAGATTCCAAGAGATGGTTTATGCTTTTCATCATTATCTTCTTCAGGCTGTGCAACCAAAAACTGAGCTTAATACATTGATCTTTGCATTATCTTAATATTCACATTAACTATATAAGCAAAATGAAGTAATATATAATATGAGACGTTAGTTGAAAATTTAGATCATAGAGTCACCTTTGATTGTTTGACTTCCACCTCAAATTTCTGGTGTGCACATGGTGTTTCCTGAAAAGCATGCAATTTGTGGTGAGAAAGTTGAAGTGCATGTAAAAGCAAGCAATTCCGATTATATGGTTCTTAAGAGAACCATGTTAATGACTAACATGGCCCCCTTGAGGATTATCTTTTGTGTCGAATCCATGAATCTGTTCATTTTAAAATGTAAAAGATATAATTTAATAAACTTATACTATTATCTGCAAACTTAATATAAATATAATAAGTAAATTTCAGTTTTGATGATAGTGAATGAGTTTCATATTCTTTTATTTTATTACTAGTTGTGTTTCTTCCATTCATTTAGAAGTAAATGTATAAAATTATGTTTAATTGTTTAGGTTAAATAGCTAAATATCTTAAGTCTTAATATTTTCAGCAGTTCAGTGTTTCAACTTTCAAGTTTCATGAATTTAGAGATATGACACAATTTTCTCAATGCTAACCTCATTTGATTGAGTTGCTTCTCAAAACAACCACCGTCGCTACCTACTTAATTATAATTAAAAAAAAATTACCCGAACTTCTTAAAACATGCATAAATCTACATTGACTCTAACAAAAGTTAGTCAACCGTTAAAACGATAAAACGACGTCGTTTTAATATAGGAAAATTGTCAGTTTTGACTCCAACAATTTCAATCGTACCAAATACAACCCGAACAAATGATCAGTGCCAAATACAACCTCAATTCAATTATAGTTAAAAACTACCCAAATTTCTTAAAACGTGTCTAAATCTACATTGAATCTAATAGAAGTTAGTCAACCATTAGCAAGATAAAACGATGTCATTTTGATATATATACTTTTTTAGATATGTTTATTTTTGGACTTAAACCCGTGCCGTGATACCCTTTCAAAGAGCACACTAACAAAACTAGACTAAAGTAATTTTTTGAAATATTATTACAAATTTGAAAGTATATACACTACTATTCTTCTTCATCTTATCCAAAAAACCTTGGTGATGATTGTTTCTAATTTATATTAATAGTTTAACATATTCCTTACTTATCATATCTTTAGTAAACTTATAACTTACTAAAATATAAATAATAAAATATTTATAATTATACGATATTAATACTGTGAAACTATTTATAAACCTTTACTTATGATAAGTAAAAAACATGTTAATGTATTTATATAAATCAGAAATAATCATTACCAAACGTTTTAAATTGGATAAGATAAAGAAGAATAGTAGTTTATATAATTTCAAATTTGTAACAACCTTTCAAAAAGTAATTTTAGTCTAGCTGTTAGTGAGTCCCTTTAAAAAAGGTAACACGGTGCAGATCTGAGTCCCGGAATGAACATATTTTAGAAATATAAATATATTTCAAAACAAAGTTATTTTATCTTGTTAAAGTTAATGTAGATTTATGCACATTTTAAAAAGTTTGAATAGTTTTTTTAATATAATTTGAGTTGAAGTCGTTTTGGCACTTTCTATTTGTTCGGGTCGTATTTGAAATTGTTGGAGTCAAAATTAGCACTTTTCCTCGTATATCCAAACAATGTCATTTTATCTTGTTAATGGTTGACTAACTTCTGTTAGAGTCAAAGTAAATTTAAACACATTTTAAGAAGTTTGAATAGTTTTCTTTTTTAAATTATAATTGAGTTGAGATCGTATTTGGTATTAACCATTTATTAATTGTATTTGACAAATAGTTGAGGACAATTTAAAATAGTACAACATCTTTAAAATGTACAAGAAAAAAAATACTTACAATCTCTGTTTTTCTTTTTTCAGTGTCGCTTTGTTGTCATATCGACATAACATTTCCAAGAACATATCATCCAAAGAAATTGCTTGAGAGATTCTTACGTGACCGAAGGGTCAATAGGTCAAAATGTCCAGGGCAGGTCGTACACGCGGCCTTATGAGTGGTGACTCTTCTTCCGTTTGCTTTCGTTGTTGCATCGTATCGTACCACTGATTTTAATATTCGACCAAGTCCTGAAACAATAAGAAATTAATAGATATTGACTCGTTTCCTCTTTTGTCGTCGTTCACATTGTTTTTGTTAGTTTAAAATTAGATAAAAACTTTTGAGGGTCATAAATTAAATTACACGTACAGTCATATGAAATTTCTATATAATAGATATCTAAGAACTCGCAACTGTCATCAAGAAGCTTTGACATCTCAAATTAATTATATCTCCTCTCATTCATTCTCTTTCTCTCTTAAAATATATATAAGAAATTCCTGAAGCGTTTCTAGAACTCTCTTCAGCCATGACCGCGCAGGTACTTGGTTTAGTGTATAGTTTTAGTCACTGGTTAAGTCTCATTTGTGTATATGTGAACACTGTACATACTTTAGTTAATGAGAATAATTATTCATATAGTTAAGTATGACACTTAATTTATATAAAATCTAAAATACAAAAATAGCCGTACTGATCTTGGGTTACTAATGACAGAAATCTGTGCTGCAATTAAGTGTTCACGATGAAAGAATCAGGAAGAATGTGTGGAGGACCGTATCTAAGTTTTCAGGTATCTTTACAAATTTCAACATTTATAATATGATAATTACATACAGTAAGTTGAGAAAATAATATAAACATTCTTTCATGATTTGTTAAAAACTTTTAGGGGTTACTTCGATAGAAATGGACGAAAAGACCGGGAAAATGACGGTGGTTGGAGAAGTTGATGTATCAAGAATCGTCTGGAAGCTACGGAAGATATGTAGAGCAGATATTGTCTCAGTTGACGTTGTTAAACCACCTGAGAAAAAGCCTGAACCGGAGAAACCGGTTGAGATTGCCTATCCGGTTACGCATTTGAACTACCCGTACCAATGTTATTCTTCCTATGCAAATTCTTACTACCAACAATGTGGGGATTATAGAGTTGTGGAGGAACCAAATACAATTTGTGTTATTATGTAAAATTTCTAGAATTATTTTGGAATAGTGGTCGTTGTGTTAGCACTTAGCTTATTGAAGAGTGTATATTTGCTGGGGTATTGTAATGCACATTTCTCCTATATTCGGAAAATAGAGATCGATTTATGTATCATGAAATTAATATTTTCTCGCGGTTTCATTTACGCAGTCTTTCTCTTACGATAAATATATATTCTTTACTTTGTCTTTAGCAGGTTTTAAACCATTTTTCTTTTTATTAACATGAGAGTATTCCAAATCTATAAGAGGGCTCAGACTATGATCTTCAAAAAGAAGTGTAATCCACAAATAAATTCTCTTTTCGAATATACCAATTAATCCAAAACCAAAAGTATAGATTCGTTATATAGATGACCATGAACAATATAACTTACTTTTGCACAATAGATAAATAAACTAAAATGTATCACACTTTACAATTACAACACTTACATGTCGACGTACATGAGATATGGTGATCATTAATGCATGGAAAAAGAATGAGGTGGAAAATTAAGAAAAAAAATTAAAGAGAACAAAGAGAAATATATGTTAGAATAACTGGTAACTATCATAACAGAAATCTTGTAAACACTATGTTTTTTTATCTTGTATATATTGAAGTAAAATTTACAATAAGTTATTATCAAATATATAATTTTATTTAAATACTTAAAATAAAAACAATTTTTCATTGAAAACTAATAAAATAGACTCAAATAATTATCAAATTACAATATTTAATTAAAAAGATACTACTTATTGTAATTTTAATTTAATTTATTAATATAATATATTTAAATATATATATATTTTTAATCTATTCATATAGATTAATATTTATCTATAACTAACCCTATTAAGACTTTGTATAATTGTTACTAAAATTTAAATATTTATATAGTTATTATTATATTCCAATTTGTTAATAAATATGTTTGTTTATATTCTTATAAAAATGTAAAGGAATCATATAAAATGTAGTTTGTAATAAAATTATAGGAACAAACGTGAACATAAACATTCTAATTATTTCTTCTTTTTTGTTGATGAGATCAAGAAGGTCAAGATGGTCGAAAAAGGAGTCAAGATGGAAAGTCTTCTCTAGCAAAAGATAATAAAATAGAATGTAATGGCTTGGGGGTTCCCCCACATGTCAAATGAGGCTTACGAGGATATTTCGTAATTGACCAGGTGATGGCAGAAAATTCAAGTCTTCTAGAGGAATTAACTTGTACAACTACCCTAATCAACTAAATTAATTTTGTAACTTAGATCATTTTTTATAAATGTTGACACCTATAAAATTTTGATACTAACTTTAATATATCTTCAGCATAGAAAACTATCAGAAAATATGTAACAAATTGTACATGGGATCTTCGCCCTTTACTTAGTTTGTCCTCTCTATAAATCTCAAGGTAATGAAGCACGACTATATCAAATTTAGGTCCGACAATGTTGAACACTTTCAGACTAATCTATTTTGTAATACTAAGTGTTCATACCCGACTTAATCAATCGGTAGGATTTATTAAAAAACTATGGAAATTAAATAAATTTGTCACTATCATTTATAAACAACGATTTCTACATCTTCCACTTGGACTTTATATATTCGCATCGCCTTGCCGTGCTTTGTAAATGTTAGAGGAGTGGATGTTTGTCTCATTCTCATATACTTTTCTAAAATAGAGAACCAAACAAGTAAATCAGCTTCACAAATACTAAATATAACAAAATTTGGGATAGTGGACCCATAATTCAGACATTAAAAATAGTCCCTTTAAATTTGTCTAAAGAATTTAAATTGATGGGATATATTAGATACAACTTAAAAACATTCTCTCCAATTAAGAGTGTATGATCTGAACGATGAAGAATTCAAGAAATACAAACTCAAACAAACCCAAGATCAAGAAAATATTAGGTTTAGGCCGTTCAATACTTAACAAAAAATGAGGCCACATACCAGAACTATATAATAGTTTGGTTGCAACTATTAGAAAAGGGAATCTTTAGACTATGATTACCTTTATGTTTGACTTAATCGTTTGTTTAGATATGTTAATATTCCTATTTCGTCTAGGGTTTGGGCTATGACGCCTTTGTATACTCATGTATCTCGTCCATGTTAATAGAAGTTAGAGTTTATAATCTACTCTCCAAGTTTTTTGCTAAAGTTTTTTTTTTTTTCTAAAGAAAAGGATTAAACCCGATCTATTAAAGACACATATCTAACTTCCGGTGGAGATATAGCCCACGGATAGATCCATTCCTAAGCATTAAAATGGGTCAAAAGCAATAATCCATATATACGTGTGGCCAGTGCAGTTTGAACTCGGGTTTGACTTATTGGGTTTGTTCCCTCAAGCGCCACTGGGCTACTGCCACTGGTTTAATCTACTCTCCAAATTTACATGGTATCTTATATATTAAAATAGAAGTCACAACCTTGATTCATGTGTGATATTTTAAAAAGTGGACCCTTACTAGAAATCAGTTATCATTCATTTATTCCTAACAATATGAGTTAGTAATATTTCATTCCTAGTATAACAATCAACTTCTATAAAACCGGATTAATTAACAAATTATACATAATGGTAATGTAAGCCATCGTATAGTTCTAAATATTGAAGCGATTTAAATAAATCAACCAATGTATATATAATGGTCATATAAAAATTGTATCTATTAAAATAGAAATTATAACTTTTTTCATATGTGACTTTTGAGTTGGACCATCTCTTAAACTACTTTAATCATAATATCTTTTAATACCTTTTCATTTTAAATATAAATATATATTTTTACAAAATTTAACAAATCTATTTAAAATATTTTAACAATATCTTAATATTCAAAAAAATCTGAGTAAACATTTTAATAATATCGTAATTAGTTTTAAAATAGTATCCATTAATATATTTTATTAACGTAGAATAAAATTTTTAACTAAATATGATAAATTATATTAAATTATTAAATTTATAAATTTTATTTTCAGAAGTATTTATGTTCAAAATATAATATGTGGGTATAACATGGGTTAAAATTCATAAACTATATAATACATGTTTAAAAATTAACATTTATTTAACTAAAGCTAATAGTATAAAATATTTGTGACTATTTTAATCATGATATCTTTTTATCTTAATATATATATATATATATATGTATATATAATTATAAAATATATGTTGATAAATATTTTAACAATATCTTAACTTTCAGGAATTTAAGTAAATATTTTAACTAATTTTGTAATTAGCAATGAACTATTATTAGGCATTAATATATATTAAATTATCATTTATAAAATGAAACATAAAACTATATATTATTTTATCTATTTTATAACAATAATAATAATAATAATAAATCATGTTAAAATAAATGATTATATTTAATTACATGATAAATTATTTAATAATATTGTATTTTATTTTCAAAAATATAAATTATTTATGCTAAAAATATGATACGGTGACATAACGATTTAAAATTTACAAACTATATGATGCATGTACAAAAGTTGACATATCTAAGATTTTTGTATATAGAAAGAATATGTTTTTTAAATGAATAAACATGAAAAAAATAGTGCTAAAAAGAAATAGGACTTTGAAGGTTGGCGGGTCAAAATTGAATATAAATTTGATACAAAATAATTTTAAAGTATTTGGTTTCATGCATATATTATATTTTTAATAACTAAATCAAAATACATTAACATAAATATATAATAAATAGCGAGAATTACATGTGATGGTTTAAAACTATTGATTAATCACACCATGTAAACTATAAAATTATTATATTTGAAATAAGTATATCAACATTCAAATATATGGTTAACGTTAAAATTGTATACCAATAATGAACTGAAATAAATATATATATTTATAAAACTGAAAAAGAATACATGCGCGGTTGCGCGGATCAAGATCTAGTTAGAGTCTTAAAATCTCCATGACCTCAAATTCTTTTTCTAACTTCATCTTTCTTCTTTGATTACTTGCGTGATTCTTAAGAAAGACCAAACACACCAGTCATGGTCGACGGAGACGATTCTTCTGTTACCAAGAGTTATCCGGCTCAGGTCAAGCATGATGTCGTCAATACTTCAGATCCTTACTCCTTGTACGCATCTGATAACCCATGCGCTTTAGTAACATCTGTTCTGTTAACAGATAAAAAGTACAATGAGTGGTTAACTGAGCTGACTAATGCACTACGAACTAATACAAAGCTAGGGTTTATTGATGGAACTGTTCCTCACCCTTCGATAGATGATCCAAACTTTGACCTCTGGTCATCAGTTAACTCTATGACCATTGGGTGGATCTATTCGTTGATTGAAGCACGTGTCCGGTCAATGGTTACTTTCATCTCTGATTCTCACAAGTTGTGGGAAAATTTACAGAAACGTTTCTCAGTGGGAAACAAAGTGTGCATTCAATATCTAAAAGAGCATATAGCTTCTTCTAAACAGGCTGTGGGAATAACTAGACACCTTCAAGCCTCTTCCTGCGTGTAGCTGTAGTGCAGCGGCTCAATATGAAAAAGAACGTGAAGAAGAGAAGGTTTATCAGTTTTTTATGGGATTGGATGAATCTCGGTTTGGAATTGTGTGTCAAGGTATTATCTCGTCTGATTCTCCTATTGATCTTGGTGAGGCTTATGCAAAGATATTACGGGAAGAGCAACATCTAACTTCAGAAAAGGAACGAGAAGGACACACCAATGCTGTCGGGTTTGTTGCTAAGAAGGAGCAACCTGAGTTTGGCAACCCAGCTCAATCTTGTCACATTCCTACAAGTATTCACTGTGGACGACAAGGACATGAGAAATCAAATTGTTAGCAACTAGTTGGTGCGAAGAGACACCACTAACTCGAGGAGACAATAAAGGAGGTCGTGGAGGCCGTGGACGTGGTGGTTCTGGCTCGAATCGCAATAGAAACAGTGGAGTCAGAGCTCACAACTCTCATGCTACCTTGTCAAATTTGTCAAAATTTCCAGCATTCATCGAGGAACAATGGAAAGTTCTTACTCAGATGCTTAATGAGAAAGCTAAGACATCTGATATGCTGATCGGTAAGCTATATGGTGATCTTATTTTGTATACCAGAGCTTCTCACCACATGACGGGAGAGCT